TCGCCGGCACCCCGCCATACTCTGTGGTTTGAACCAGAAGCCCCGAGAGGGTCTGAACAAGGAAAACTGGCTGAGTCATGGAGAACAACCACAACAGAGTTCCTGTTTCATCCACGTGTCTAACGGGGTGCACAGCATTCTTGTGTGACTGCGTGTTGTCATATTGTCAGAGGCTTTTTCTTCTTCTTTTTTTTTTTTTTTTTACAATATGATAGAATGGGCTCAATTAACAATGCTCTAAGCAGGCAGCAGTGGCGCACGCCTTTAATCCCAGCACTCAGGAGGCAGAGCCAGGTGGATCTCCGTGAGTTCAAGGCCAGCCTGGTCTACAGAGTGAGATCCAGGACAGGACAGGCTCCAAAACTGCACAGAGAAACCCTGTCTCGAAAACCAAAAACCAAAACAAAACAAACAAATGCTCCAGACCTGCCAATGCTGAGGACCCGGGATGTCTTATTTCTAAGTATGGCAGAGGAGCCCTGTGCATGTTGGTTGTCCCTAATGAGCAGTGTTGACTCTTCCTTCCTTGTCTCATTCTCTTCTCAGTGATGAAACAAACCAGGGAGACAAACGAGACGGCCGGGGCACTCTGAAAGAGAAGATGACGGCAGCTATACAGGATACAGCCGTTCAAACGTACACACACACGTACACACACACACACACACACACATATAATAGTCTCATCTATAGACTATATATATAGTCTCACTGTCAGCTGAACACAAATACTATCAACCTACGGTGCAGGGACTGAACAGGGGACTCACATGTTTTCCAATCCACAAGTACTCTTTTTCTTGTGTCCACTGTACCCATCATTCCCAATATGTACGACTGAGGTGTGTCATCAGTAGGGGAAGTTCTGGCCCGGCAGAGTATATCTGAGGTCCTTGAAGAAAGGGGACTTGAGCAGGACTTTGAAAGGGGGGCAGGTTTGTCTGTCCATTGCAACGGGTTGGTCCACAGGCTGTGACAGGGAAGGGACTGGCTTCATCTTCAGATGACAGACAGACTATTCATTCACTGGTCCATCCAGAAGGTGTCGTCAATGATAGCTCTCTTCTAAAGCTACCAGTTTTTGTTTTGCTGTGTGTGGTGAGGGGGGGGGACCCACACCAAGAACCAAACACAAGCCTTGTGCATGGTAAGCAAGCAGCTACAAGTGAGCTGCACCCCAAACCATTCTGTCCCTGTCCCCCCTCCCCTTTGGTTTTTCGAGACAGGGTTTCTTTGTGTAGCCTTGGCCATCCTGGAACTCACTCTATAGACCAGGCTGGCCTGGAACTCAGAGAGATCCACCTGCCTCTGCCTCCCAAGTGCTGGGATTAAAGATGTGCACCACTACCACCCCGGTCAAATTTCTGTCTTTTTGAGACAGTTGACTGTAGCCCATTACCCCTAGAAATGATCTTGGGGGCTGCCTGCTGGCTCAGGATAAGCCGGGCTCGGTTTCATTTTGTTTTGAGATGGTCTCATGTAGTCCAGATGAGCCTCTCAAACTTGCTATGGATAGCCCGAGATGACCTGGAATCCTCCTGCCTCTGCTTCTTGAGTGCTGGGACATGTGGCATGATGACCCACTCAGGCTGGGTCTTCCGGCCTCTAATACAGAAGCCAGGACTCCAAATGAGGCTGACATTATACATGATCTCAGAAAGAACACGGGCTTTGGCACGGTTCCTGTGCAAGCAAGCACAGCTAAGGAGACAAGTCTGGGGAAACCGTGGAAGTCAAGAGTGGCCAGAAGAAGTTGGCTGCTCTGGAGAACACAGGAGCTCCGGCTATATTTAAACTCTGAGTCACATGACTCGACTTGGGCAGGAGTAAAACATGTTTTCTTTTAAATGATTAAACTGAGTTGAACTTCGTTCAAGAAAAATTTCTTTCCCTCTGATTTTTTTTCCAACTTGAAGAGTTTCAAGATGAGAATTTGTTTTCATAAAGAGAAAACTTATGTCAGTACTTTCTAACCTAGAGACACATCTGTGCACTTGGAACACCCAAATGTCAGCAAGTCGTGCATCTGGCCCCATCCCCTACATCTGGATGATCCAGAGATCCCATTAAAAAGGAAGAAGGAAGAGGAGGAGGTGTAAACACTGGCTCCACTCCGGTTCTCATGGTAATACAAACACACCGGCCCAGATTTGGTCTCATGTTCATCCCACTTCCACAGGCATAGGTTTCTAACGTCTACTCCTGCGGTGATTAAAATAGTAAAATCTCACCCCGCAGTTGGGAGAGTTTAGCCCCAAATTCCACTTTCACAGTGGGTCTGCCATCCAGTATGGATCGGGGTTATCGGCAGGTCAAAACCAGAGACAGCTAAACTCAGGATGTTTAAGTCACTCTGCCTTGGAAAGTGCTGGAAGGGAAGCAGGCAGAAGATCAGCCGATGGTAGGGTCCAGACTCCTGGGTTGGAGCCTTTCCTACAGTAGACGATGTTAATTCACTTAAAAATAAGAGCTTTGCCGGGCGGTGGTGGCGCACGCCTTTAATCCCAGCACTCGGGAGGCAGAGCCAGGCGGATCTCTGTGAGTTCGAGGCCCAGCCTGGACTACCAAGTGAGTTCCAGGAAAGGCGCAAAGGCTACACAGAGAAACCCTGTCTCGAAAAAACCAAAAAAAAAAAAAAAAAAAAAAAGAGCTTTATTTTAAATAGCCAGGAAAGGAGGAAAGGCTAGACTCATGGACTCATGACCAGCAGAACTCCTGACCCCCCCTTGGTGGGGGAGGGGGCATTGTTTTCTTTTTATTCCTCATTTAAATATCTTTTGTTTCTCTAAGGTGATAAGTATTTGGGTTTTTTTTTCTGGAGCTCTGTTTATACACTCTGAGTCTCTGAGGGCGTGTGTGTGTGTGTGTGTGTGTGTGTGTGTGTGTGTGTGTGTGTGTGTGTGTGGTTGGTGGGCATGTGTACCTTGGTTCTAGTAGGGTCCCGTTTCCTGTTCAGTCTGAGGTCTGATTGCCTGGGCTGGGGCAGTCTAAACATGAGGAGGCCACTGAAGGGCAGGCTGTTTACTAGATCCGCTGAAATATTTCTACTGTCCTGCTTCTACTCTGAGGCTGTAAGAGGTCAAATCACCCGACGGCTCCTCTGGGATCTACAGGAGTTAGGCTAAGTCACCTATATGATCTCTCTGTCCCCTCAAACAGCCTGCAGGGTCAGTGTCCCATAAAAGCAAAAATCTCGGGAGGCAGAGGCAGGAGGATCTCTGAGTTCAAGGCCAGCCTGGTCTACAGAGTGAGTTCCATGATGGCCAGAAACCCTGTCTAGAAAACTAAAAACGAAAGCACAAATCTAGCGGATCCAGGGTCGCCCCAGGCCTGTAGGGAGCCTGGTGTGGGAACAGCTTAAGAAACCAGACCTACAGCACCGGGAGACTAAGGAAACCAGAGCCTGCAGTGAACCGGCTACAGTGGCCCCAACCCGAGGCCAGAGAGGGGTGATGACCTTTCGACCTCTAAGTTCACCCTATTCCGCCCAGGAGTCTACACAATCCAACCGCCCCAGGTTCCTGGGCAGCGGTCCCTCCCAGGTTCACACGCCCACCCCAGAGTCTTTGCTCTCGGCCTGGAGAATCTTGTTCCAGGGACACGCCCCTCTAGTGCGCCCCGCCCCAGGCCCTGGTGCAAGCCTCTCAACCCGCGCTCGGGCTGGCCACCCTGAGGCTCTCCCCTCCCCTGGACATTCTCTCTTCCTCACACGCCTGGTTCTCCTTTTCGTCTCCGTCTCCCGCCCACTTTGCCTCCGCTCTCTCTCTCATACCTGTACCTTGAGTCCCCAGCGACCCCCTCTCCCCAATACTACTCTCCAACCCTGACCCCTGATGCTCCCCTTACCCTGGCCTTCGGCTCAGCTGCAAGCATTCCTGTTCTTTATCCCCAGCTCCCTTCAGCCGGTTTCTTGCTCCCCTTGCCCCCAGGATGACTTCTACCCATAAAGCTCCCCTAAACTTCTCCAAGATGATCCCCACACCCTGACTTCCCTCCAAGTCTACCCACCCCGCGCCCTTTACGGCTCCCATACAACTCTCACTCCGTTCCACCTCCTTCCAGTACAACCCTACCCCGGCCTCCCATCTCCTGGGGGGTCTCCCGACCTGTCACCCCTACCCTCTCCTCATCCCTCTTACCCTCCTCCCCCCAGGATCTCCTTCCTTATTTTCTCCCTGTCCCGGGCACCGCCCCCCCCCCCCCCCCCAGGTCTCCTCCACTCCCATCCCCGAAGCTACCCCGTCTTTCCCGATCCTCCCATTCCCCCCGCCAGCATCCCCCACCAGCCTCTATCTTCTCCAGCCCCCCAGATCACCCTTGCCTCTCCTCTCCATCGCTCCCATCCCCACGACTCCTCCCCGCTCATCCCCCATGGCCCCCCATCCCCCGTGACTCCCCACCCCCGTCCGTCTCTCCATCGCACACCCCTCCTCAGTCCTCCAGGAGTCCCCCCTCCCTGCTCCCCCGCCCCGTCCCGCCCGCCGCGCTCCCGCCCCAGTCCGGCCCCGGCTCCCCGGCTGCTGCGCGCTCCAGGCTGGGTGCGCGCCATGGGCAGCGGCAGCAGCCGGAGCGGCCGGATCCCGAGGCGGCGGCGGCGCAGCCCCGACAGGCGCCAGGCGGGCCCTGGAGAGGCAACCTCGGAGGGCGGCACGGCTCACCAGGCCCCGACGGCCGCGACACAGGAGGAGACCGGCCGCGATCCCCGCCCCGCGACGCCCCCCGGCGGCCGGGAGGAGACCCTGCGCCTGCTGGACCAGTTGCTGGCGGAGTCGGAGGCCTGGGGACCCCCGGGAGCCGATCCCGCGCGGCCCCGCCCGGCTCCCTCTCGCGGTGAGTGTGGGCGCCTGTCCCTCCAGACTCATCCCTCTGTAGCCCCAGTGTCCTCCCACCCAGGCCTCCGTCCCTACTGTTCCCAGCTATTCCAGTGTGCGCTCTCCCCCGTCCCCCGTCCGTCCTAGGGCGTTGTGCCCCTTCCTTACCCCACCCCTGCATATTCTTACCCTGCCTCCTTGGTGGGTGCTCGCTACTGTCTCTATTTCGGGGTGACTCACAGGGACAGCCTTAAAGGACCGAGTACAAACAACAGTTGGCAGAAGAAACACCTAGAACTTTCTTCTGCTACAGGGCTCGCCTCCCTGTCCCAGTGGGGCTGCATGCACTCCAGCTACAGCATCTTTGCAGCTCAGGTGGGAAGTGACCGGCGAGGGAGGGCCTCGGCCATCAGGCTACACAGGGGGATGGGAGGAGGCGATAAGTGGGTGGACCACCTGCCAAAGAGTGGTTCGAAAACGCCCTGCCGCGTCGGACGCGTCCGGATCTTTGGCTTGCAATTCCCAAATTGCAAGCTATTTTTAAGATGCGTTGACTTCTTTTGGCTTCTTTATCCTCTCTTGCTGAACACTTGTAACAACACCCCCGCTGTTCTAGAAAAACAATTAAAAACCAGCGCTCTGGTTTGGCACGTCTTTGCTGCTACAGAGCTAAAATTCTGAACCGTCTTTGCGGCTCCTGGCTGGGAGAGGAGGCCAGAGGCAGTGTCCGTAGCCGGAGGCTTCGATCCTGGCAGCAGAGGCAGAGGGAATGTCTTCTTGGGCCCGGCTACCAGGAAAAGCCACTGGAATGGTGGGAAGACCCCTCAGCCCCGCCGGGAACAGAGCTCTGTCCCATATCCCTCCTCCCCACTGCCCTGTGGAGGTTTACAACAGGAAAAGTGAGCCGTAGTGAGGCAGACTGAATTATATAACGGGATTCCTCTAAGACTACATCAGCCTGCAGTTACATAACACCAAACCAAGAACAAACAGTTGGGGATTTTGACATAGCAAGGACACCAATTTCCAGTGTCATTCTCAAGTGCTTAGGGAACTTCAAAAGTCTGGAAATGAATGGATTTTCCCTCAATCTTGCTGAGTACCAGCTGGAAGAACCTCATAGAGACAGGAACTCCTGGATACCGCTCTAGCCCCTGGTAAGTGGGGCTTGCTTTAGATCATAGGGATAAAGACAGGTGTTGGCCTGGGATCCAGGCGGGGGAGAAGGTCCAAAGATCAAGTATAGAATGGGCTGGTGAGAAGTCAGTCTGATGAGTCCACAGGAGGGAGTGACTTCTTTACTCTGAAGTGGTCAGAGGACAAGAGCAGAGAACCGGGGGGGGGGGGGGGGGGGGGGGGGGGGGCCCTCTGTGTATCCTGACCATGGTGGTACATGTAGCTGGGGTGTAGCTGCAGAGGTCTTCAGCATCGATGCCTGGCTATGTCAGGAGGTGTAGACTCTACTGAGGAAGAAGTGAGTATTTGAAGGCTGAAGGGGAGCATGGTTTTGTGTTGTTGGGGAGATGTCTCAACACAGGAGAGGGGTGAATCAGACAGAGGAATGCTTGGGGCACCACGATCTACCAGGGTTATGCTGGCTGTCCAGCTGACCGGGTTCTGGACCCAAGCAGTAGCAGAGAGAGAGGTGTGAGAAGGTAGGTTCAAGAAATAAACTGTGTGCCAGGTGAGTAGTGGTGCACACCTTTAATCCCAGCTCAGCACTCAGGAGGCAGAAGCAGGTGGATCTCTGTGAGTTTGAGGCCAACCTGGTCTACAGAGTGAGTTCTAGGACAGCTAGGGCTACACAGGAAAACCTGTCTTGAGAAAAAGAAAGAAAGTCGTAGGCGAATCTTAAAAGGTCTTATTAATAAAAACAAACCGGGAGCCAGGTATTGGAGTGAATGCTAAAAGATCAGAGAAACAGAACAAGTCACATCCAACCTCACCTGGCCAACTTCTCAGCTGATCTTGTTTCCTCAAACTGGAAGGCTCTGAGTCCTCATCTGAATTGATCTCAGCTGAACTGCTGCTAAAAGCCTAAAAGCTTAAAAAGACCTCTAGGTCCTCACGCCTTATATACCTTTCTGCTTCCTGTCATCACTTCCTGGGATTAAAGGCGTGTGTCTTTCCCAAGCAAGACATGAGATCTCAAGTCCTGGGACGAAAGGTGTGTGTCACGGGTGATGCCTGGCTTCTAAGTCTATCTAGTGGCTGTTCTGTTCTCTGACCCCAGAGAAGTTTATTGGGGTGCACAATATATCAACCACAGGAAGTGTGAAGTCAAAGCAGGTTACTCTTTGGGGCAGGGGGATGCCTCAGATGTGTCCCAGTACTGTGAATGTTTCTCAGACTAATGAATGACTCCCAGAGTCCCAGGAGACAAAATCAGGAAGTGAGACCCCTGCCTCTAAAAACACTGCACATGCTAGAGCTTGGTACCCATGCTTCTGTTTTCTGTGCTGTGTAACTTGCCTACATCTGCTCACATCTGCAGCTGATTCCTTCAGGAGGAGCTGTACATACTTTCTCTCTCTCTGTCTCTCTGTCTCTCTGTCTCTCTGTCTCTCTGTCTCTCTCTCTCTCTCTCTCTTTTTGTTTGTTTTGAGGCAGGGTTTCTCTGTGTAGCACTGGCTGTCCTGGAACTCACTCTGTAGACCAGGCTGACCTCATACTCCGAGATCCGCCTGCCTCTGCCTCCCTAGTGCTGGGATTAAAGGCGTGCGCCACCACTGCCCAGCTAGGAGCTGTACATCTTACAGGGCTGTGCATTAGTGACTCACCACTGAGACAGAAAAGAATTGCAAGTTCAAGAACCATCCATGGAAGGTGGCCTTTCCTCAAAAATGTTTGAGAGAATGTCCCCCCAAGCAAAAAGGACCCTTTGATGGGGCATGAATACACTATTCCTATTCTTTTATTAGGAAAGAAGAATTTTTTCCTTATATTCATAACCTTCTAACACTTAGGAGTTTTTTGTTTTTGTTTTTTATAACACAACATCAAAATTAAATGACAATCCTTTTACGGGCCTTCATTTAAACACGGCAGCCAGCAGGTTGAGGTTGTACCTAGCATGTGTAAGGCCTTGAGTCTGATCCTTCCCTCCACCAGAAAGCAAGAAAACAGGAAAATTGCAACCACTGTTGACAGGGATGCTTTCATGTCTGATTATGCGTTATCCCTGAATCATCATCCTGAATGTCATGTTATACGGGACTTTATTTAAAAAAAAAAAAGTTCTAGAGGGCTGGAGGGATGGCTCAGTCATTCTGCATTTTTCCTGCTACTGCAAAGGGCCTGAGTTTAGTTCCCACAACCCATGTGAGGTTGCTCACTTCTCCCTGTAACTCCCTCCTGGGGATCCGATGCCTCCTTCTGGTCTCTGAGGGCCCTGCACTCCTGCTTAAACACGCATCTGTGTGCACATACACATACACACATACACACAGAGTACAAATAATTAAAAAATAAAATATAAACAAAAGGTAGTTTTAGCTAATATTTTAATGAGTACTTAAGTCTCAGTCATGTGTTAATGCTTTCCATGTTCACCCATATTTTTAATATATATATATTTTTTTAAGATTTATTTTTTTATTATGTATACAGTGTTCTGCCTACATATATGCTTGCAGGTCAGAAGAGGGCACCAGATCTCATTATGGATGGTTGTGAGCCACCATGTGGTTGCTGGAATTGAACTCAGGACCTCTGGAAGAGCAGCCAGTGCTCTTAACCGCTGAGCCATCTCTCCAGCCCCTATATTTTATTTTTTAATGACACAAGATCAAAAAAAGCTGGGATTACAGGTGTGTGCCACTATGCCTAGCTATTTAGGAATTTTTTGAGGCTAGATTTATTTGTTTTGGTTTTGTCAAATTGAAGGTTATAAGAAAAAAATTGAAGATAAGGATAATCTTATTAACTATCTTATTTTAGGTATGTGTATTTATGTCTGTTTTGAATTGTCCTACTTAACCCATCTCATAAACAGGTTTCTCCCTGCATGTATCCTTCCATGTTTTAAGGGACGTGAGATGGTCTACCAAACTCCTGTCCTTTAAGTCATGGTCCTACACCCCTCTCCTGTTACCGTTCTGGATTAATTTTTAATCTCATGGCCACATGAAGTGCCCAAGGCAGTCAGTAGATCTCAGACATCAGGGTATTAGTTGGGGATCTGAAACTTCAAACTCTGCAGAATGGGAAAGCTAGGGAAATCTATGGATTGGAATCGGTGGTTTTTAAAGTCATTTAGTGATTTTGAAGAACACAGCAGCGCCCCCTCAATCAGAGGTCTTTTCATGGGTCAAACCAGCTATCAGATATGGGTTCATCCATGGATGGTGGAGGCAGGGGACTGCAGTGTTCTCCTGCCTTTTCAAAAGTTTGTGGCAGGGCCCTGCTGGGGGAAGGTCACAGACAGAGCTCTGCTAGGTCATCGACTCATGGCACTGTCTCAGTTCCAGAGTCAACGGTTGCGCTGGTGACATTTGAGGGCACTTTTAGAGAAGAATTTGGTTCAGTACCAACACCATCTATTTAGCGCTTTCCGTACTGGGATAGGAACTCCATTATTTCCCCAACTTCCCAACCCCCAGTCAGTGGTGGCCTAGGGAAGTCATGAAGGGCATTGCCGTCCCTGAGAGTGTATATAGATCATTCTTCACAAGCCTGCGTGGAACAGTGAGACCTTCTTTTGGAGCTGAATGACATTTCATTCGCTGCTTTTGGATTTACTGTAGCCAAGGAGGACTGGGGGAGTCTTGCTGTGGCCACCAGCCAAGACTTTAGGGTGAGCACGGCTTGCGCTGTGGTGGAATGCGAGGTGAAGAAGCTATAGAAAGGAGCTCGCAGCTGCGGAGTCGACTTACCAGAAGGACCTACAGATGCTGGAGTCACAGCCCAAGCAAAACCAAGACCTCCGAGACAGTACCAGGGTGTCTGCAGTCAAGGCCAGAGCAGAGACCACACCCGAAAACAGCATGAAGTGGTGTGTTGACCCGACCTCAAGAAGAGTGAGACATGGGGTTGACTCACACAGTGCTGGGGAGGCCATGGAAGGAGGCCACGCCGCACCACGGAGGGAGGCCACGGAGGGAGGCCACGCCGCACCACGGAGGGAGGCCACGGAGGGAGGCCACGCCGCACCACGGAGGGAGGCCACGCCGCACCATGGAGGGAGGCCATGGAGGGAGGCCACGCCGCACCACGGAGGGAGGCCACGCCGCACCACGGAGGGAGGCCACACCGCACCAGGGAGGGAGTCCACGCCGCACCAGGGAGGGAGTCCACGCCGCACCAGGGAGGGAGTCCATGCCGCAACACAGAGGCTCTGAGGAAGGAATGCCCCATAGGAAAGACAGCACCAAGCCGCTGAGCACTGTCAGGCAGTGGAGAAACCTCAGCCAGAAGTCTCCCCAGTGCATCAGACGGCACTCCAGGAGCCAGCCTTGATGAAAGGATGGCACATTCCACCAGGAAACCCCAGAAGTGGGAAACCACTTCCACTATCTTTCAAAGCCAGTTCCTCTGAAACTGGGGAGGCACAGATGGCCTTGACCCCTCCATGGTGGTCTCTGTTCTGTTAGGGTAAGGAATGGAGTCGCATGTACCTCGCTTGCTATTGGGAGTTGGAGGTTGTTATAGAGGGCTGAGGCTTTCAGGGAAGCCACGAGGAACACTTCCTAGGAGGCCACTAACACTGACCACCGTGGTGGGAGACCAGTGCCCCCTGGTGGTGAAGAGCGGAGCCTGACTGGCAGAATCTTGAAAACTGCCTGCTGGTGGATTGATTCGCTACTGGAGGTCCCTTAACGCTTTTCTGTCAATGTGTTGACATGTCCACCGTAAAACAAACAAACCAACCACCACCGCCGGTCTGGTAATGTGTATTTTACCACAGGTAAAGTGGTTTATTTTCTGTGTGTTTTGTTTTCTTTGGTATTTGAGACAGGGTCTTACGTAGCGAAGGCTGGCCCTACTACATTCCCTTTGTAGCTGAAAATGGCGTTGAACTCCTGATCCCCCTGCCTCAGCGTCCTGAGTGCTGGGATTACCAGTGTGTGACACTAGTCCCAGCCAGACTTTAACACTAGTATTTACTTATTTGTGAGTGCCTGTGCCTGTGTGTGTTTATATGCACCACATGCATGC